GAGGTCTTGGATAAATGGTTATGCCCCTGCTAAACTTTCTCAACAAATCGTGACAACAGGACAATGAAACATAAATCACCTGATTTGACCTCAAAAGTTGCTTGACCTAATTACCTTGGCCTAATTAAAAATGAAAGCAATTTTATCGCCAAATTCAAACCACTGGAAACAAATCGTAAGAACTAGACAGTTAAGCAAAATCATCTGACTTGATCTCAAATGTCACTGGAACTAATCACCACAAACACACATAAATAAAGAATGTACAAAGGAACATAAGCGCACGTTTTATTTTGTGTAGGCATTTGATGGATGTCAACGAGTTCGAAGTAGTTAAACATTTCCATGCGAGCCTTTTGTTGTGCTCTCCAAGGCGAATTCTCTTTGAATTGGCCTTGGAGGCGCATAATTAGAGCGCTTTGCAGAGTTTGTTGGCACTTGAGAGGAGGAGGATGCGGACGAGGTAGTGGAGAACGAGGAGGATGAATAGTGGTAGAAGGTGAATGAGGTGGCGGAGTATTAGAACTTGACATCGATCTTCTACAACCAGGCTTCCATTGGAGTTCATTTCGCCTTTCATCCACATTGAAGCATCTCGCACACTGGCATCAGTCACTTACTCGGAACAGTAGCGCAAGAAGAAGTCACCGGCCAACTCCTCCCGTGGTTCGATCTTGGCCACAATAACATGCGGATGCTTGCCCTCCAACTTCTCAAACCCAACTTACATCAGCAGCATGACCTCCAACGAGTAAATATATCCAGCCGTTTTATTATATTTTGCTCGAGACAGGCAGATCGTCTTCCTAAGTGGTAATAGACTGCAATAATAAGAAGTAGAAGATGCACTCGGAAATTCTTCGTTATTTGAGCCAGGTAAATAGGGGTGATGGCAAAATCGATGGGTTTGAATGGCCGACGTGTACGTTTGGTAGACTCGAGGCATACAATGCTGGAATTATTCTTCCCTCACTTAGACTTTTTATCATAAATTAAAACTAACCATGGAAACGATTC